AGAGATAAGGATTCAGGTGATTGGATAGCAACACAGAAAATCTCTGTTAAGGAAATTTTGAGGCACAGAAAGCTACGAGAGTCAAGGGTATACTGTTCTGACCTAATACTTTCTGCCTTTTATTTTGCAGTATTGAATCCTGTCTGTCCTTTTGTGACCCATTATCATTCAAGTATACAGCTAATCAACCTAAGTCAGGCTCTTACTCCTGGGGGAGATACTGAGAATCAGAAATTTTTCCCTGTGTATTCTGGCTCCCAATTCTGCCCTCCGACTATCCACTAAATCTATCAATGGTGTCCTCAGGACTTCATTCATAAAAAGATTTCAAACTTTTTGTAAATGCCAACCCTCTTCTAATCTAGTCATAAAAGCAGTTACAGTTTTACCGTTTGGACTACAAGAGAGAAGCTGATGTCACTGTATCATCTGGGAATAGTGAAATTAGAGGTCTTTGGAAATCTGTGAGAATCAGGCAGTTATTTTAATTGACAGGAACTAGTTTCTTTTTAATGAGTTAGATTTGGCTTAGGTGGGTAGAGGCTGGGAAGTGGTGGTAATTGGCAGTGGGACCAGATTACATGGGTCTTCTACTCTTCTCTTTTCCAGATGACTTGAACATTGGTGGGATCATTGGAGGAGTTTTGGTTGTCCTGGCTGTCCTAGTCCTGATAACTCTGGGCATCTGTTGTGCATATAGACGGGGTTATTTCATCAACAACAAACAGAATGGAGAAAGGTGAGCCTAGCATGAAAATTGAAAGGTCTAAGTTGACAGTTACATGGGAAATCAGGTCTAGTTACTTAACTACCCTCTTTCCCCCCCTTTCACAGCTACAAGAATACAGGGAAACCTGATGGGGTTAACTATATCCGGACAGATGATGAGGTAAGGAACCTGAGAAAGCAACTGGGATTCATTTCCTAGGGAGAAAAACGGTAGGGCCCAGAATACTAGATATTCTAGGTGTAACTAAGAACTTCATCAATAAAGAAATTGTTCTTTTCTACTTGAAAACCCAGTTGATCCTGTGGGGAGAACCCCACCTTAAAACCAAGTACCTAGAGCCTGAGCTCCCCGTCCTTTTTCCACATGAAATCGGTCCCACTTTGACACTGGCTTTCCTTTCTTGTGGCACTCAGTTTGCAAGCTGTCCATCAGTACTTTTATATGATCTTGTTTGATGCTCAGTCCCCAAGAAAGATGTTTTCTTTGCAGTTAGATTTGGTGCCTTTTTCCTTTCCAACTCTTGCCCCATTCTTCCAATATCATCAGCTCTTGCAGGTCTCAAGAGAGTTGCATTTGGCCATATTTTAACTTCTTATATTGTCTTTGCAGGGGGACTTCAGACACAAGTCATCCTTTGTGATCTGAAGTCTGATCATCTGGCAGAGAACACATGCAAATACCTCCGTTAAAAACTCCGATCAAGAGCAACCTATGAGCAAAGTGCACTTGGAAAGAGTTAGACCCTTGTATAAAACTTGTTTTTCCCCTTGCCAAAGTTGACAATGAATTGTCCCCAAGATGGGGGATGGTAACATGGAGAAGATTGAATTTGTTTATTGGACTGACTACCAAGTAGGAATAGCCTTAGTCCTCTGCCTTCCAGGATAGGATACCATAAAACTGTCTCCCAAAGTGAATTTTTCCATGCCTGCAGTTCAGGAAGTAGAGGTTTGTTAAAGGTTAGACATTGTGAGCCTGTGGTACTAATTAGCTTCTCGGGCAGTCATTACCTGACTGTGTAAACAGTAGTGGGGAGAAGGGAGGGCAGCTGCATGGGACCTTAGGAACACAAATTAAGGTTTGACTCACCTTGCAGGTGTGGAATTGGAAATTATGATGAATCTACAAAGCCGAGGCCTTTTATGCAATTAACTTGTTTTTAAATTGACCGGCCTTATAAGCAGTATTGTGCAATTCCTTTTTAAAACCTTTTAAAAATCAATGAATGCATACTATCAGTCTAGGAAAATTGTTCTGGTTCAGCATTTTATAATAACAACCAAAATAAGGAAGGTTGGTTGTGGGTCTTACCTCTTATCTGAAGAAGACACGCTTGCCCATGGTGGGTTTCAGTATTTAAGGAAATATTTTGAAATTAAAAGCAAAACACCCATCCTGGGCCAGGTTTAAAATGGTACTGAAATAGTTCCTGCTTTTCTGTGGGTCTTGCTTATTTTGTAGGATTCTGCATTCTAAATTTTTGCAAAAGATGTATTTTGATTACTTCAAAGAATGAATTTTTTAATTTAAATTGTAAATATGTTGTCATGCAACAGTGTTAAATAACATTTTTAAAAAAATCAAACACAAGTTAGGCACTTCAAATCATAACAGTGTTAACACTGAGAATGCCAGCATTTAAAGCACCTGTACTCAAGTCTTACAGGCTCACAGAAGAGCCTTCCTTCTTCCAGATAGCAGCATTTCCCCCAGGAAGGCTTGTGAGTCATACATTGGACCATTGCTCAGGTATTATTTTCCAAAATTCCATTTAGAAGCAAAGATACTTATGTAACCTGTAAGTCTGAAAAACATTATACCCTTGAGTAGTGTTTGAATTGCTTTTTACCCTCTCATCACTAACAGGCAGATGTATTTGAAGACCACCCAGAAGCTCTGATTCACTTATCTACTTATGGAATAAGTCCTGTGGCTAAAACTCCAAAATTGGTATTGGCTGTTAGCTTCTGAGTGTTATTCAAAGTGGCTACTTTTGGATTTAAAATCTGGTATGGATTCACATCCCAAGTAGCTTTGGTATCAAGTCATATGTCTGATGGAAGCTGAACTTAGATTAAGAAGGATCAAAGATGGACACTTCAAAAACAGTTAGGTGTGTTTTTCCATGCAGTCTGTTGGGTTCCCTGTCCTTGATCTGACAACCCTCAGCCTTCATGTCTCATCTTGTTTAGACTGTCAACTCTGGAAGGTCCATAAAGCAAAGCAGGAACTTTGTTTTTAAAACTAGTTTTAATTATTTGTGTTTCACATGACTGCACCCAACATCAAGAGTGATTTTAGAAATGAAATCTATCAACTACAATAACATTTTTTAAAAAGGAAACAAAATTCCATTATTACTCTTTGCTATAAAGCAGCCAGACACTGTAAGCTATCTCCCTCCCTTCTCGATAAGCCATGATGTGGCGGCAGCTACCCCAGTCTTTTGAAGAGTATTAGATTGTATAACCAGTGCAGAAAACCTAACAGTGAGAAAAGTAAAATGCTTGAATCAAAAGCATTTTTCTAATTTTGATTTTAAACTTTGATCTCCCTGAAGCTCTGCTCACTTTTGAGGGCTTTAGAAAGAACATCCTTGTTCTTCAAAAGTAGGTGTTCTGAGCCTCAAAGACATGCTGTGTCAGATTCATGGTGTGAAGAGGTTTGATGCAAGGAGCGTCTCAAAAAAAGCCCTTATGATTCAGTGATGTGCTTAAAGGATATTTTTCATGTAGCAGAATGTAGCCATCTTGTGATTAAATTTCAGTTGAATTGTCTTAACTTTTATGCTTTGACAGTATTTTGGTTGGATACTTGTAAATGTTGGAATTTTTAACTTTTTTTTTGTAGTTTATATAAAAATACTATGCCTTGGGATTTTTCACCAAATGTTTGTTTTCAGTGGGCAGCTGTATAGCTATGGCTTCACAGTACCTACTGTTTATTGCATCAGTATTTTAAATGTTTAGAATTAGAACTGTTCTCAAGATCAGTGCAGATCCAGTCTCCCCTTTTTCTAGACTAGATGGGGAATAATGCCTTGACCTTTTCCTTGGGTTGCCATAGTGATAAGGCAGCTGTATTGTCTCTAGTTTTATACACTAAAGCCTTCCTACCCTAACCCTGTATTCAACCATGGTCAGTATAAAGGAGAAAACTGTGAAGTCTAGCAGGCTTTTGTTGCAAAAAGATTTTAAAAAGGAAAATTAAAATATTTTTTTTGAATTGGAAGAGAAAATTCACATATTTTTAAGATGTTGAAATGAGGCTAAGAGGATTCAAGAATTCTATCCAAGGCAGTTTTTCTTGTCTTTGGTATGAATAGCACTGTACATAAATGTTATAGATTTGTACTAATACATATAATTTGATACTTCTGTAAGACATCATTTATAAACCTTTTTTTCTAAGAAAAAAAATCAACCCCAGCCTCTTTATTTAAATATTCTACAAAAGAAACACTTTCCTTCTTTTTCACTTAGCTAATTTGTTGGAAAAGTAGTCAGGAAAGCCAATGTGAGACAAAAATCACTTGACTTGTATAGCCCAGTACATTTTTGGAGGCCCGTAATCCCTACACCATCTACAAGAGATCAATGTGTATACTGTAGATACACTAAGTAGTTCACCAAAGAGCAACACTGTGAAGCATACTATATTAATGGCATTCAATTTTGTCTTACCAGTTAATATAACTTAGTCATATGGGTAGAGGAGAAACACAGGATGACATTTCACTCCTCAAACCCAACTGGCTATGTGTATCAAAAACACATGCACACACAAACCCTAAGACTTAACCCTGTACATTTCGCTGCTGTAATACTGGGATTAAACCTTGGAGCCCACTGAGTTTTTTGTCATTCTTGTCGTTTCTCCTTCATGGTCTCTAAAGTCAGCCCTTTGGGTAAAGCAAGAAGTGTGAATAGTCATATGAATTCTGTTCGTCTAATGCTAATGCCATTAGTAGATGAAACTAACTTATTTGGCTGTAAGACAAACCAGACTCGATGTTGGTGTTTCTAAGCAGTTGTTTTGGTAGGTGGAAACAAGGAATCCAAGTATTTATATAATGAGAATGTTATCTGTTGGAATACTGTTGTGGAACAGGGTGAAAGAAGGAAATAAAACTTAAAGACAACATGAATAATTTTTTTTCCTTTAAAATGAAAGATTTGGCTTTGTTTTCACTAAACCGTTTACATAACATTAAAATGACTAAAAGTAAAAGTGGCGTTTCCAGAAAAAAAGTAATTTTCTATTTAAACAATGAAAGGCTATATTTATACTTTATTTTATATTTTAAAAAAACCTGTACATTGCTTTAAAGGTGTAGTTATGATAGAAAAAAATACATTTAATTTCATATAAATATTGGGTAAGTGCATACTACCAGGGAAAGCAGCATCCACTAATAAAGGCTTGATTTATATTGGGAGAAACTATGAACTCTGCACTCAGTTGTGGTATTCCCCAAATGAAATACAGCTTACCAAGGTGTCCTTAACACTTCTCAAATGGAATAAAGGCATAATATTAAACTTTAACTTACTTAATTCTGGCAAAAGCAATAAATCTGCCATATTTTTATATTTTGCGATTTAACATATTGTATATATGATGCCTTTTTTGCTAAAAATTTGAGTGAACAGACCTACATGTGGTAAACCAAACTTTGTATGTAGAAGAATAGAGGGGATCTGAAGGAAGATCTGTTGAATTTACACTTAAGACCATAATCAGATACCCTCTGTGTGGGAGGGAATAGATTTTGTTTGCCACATGATTTGCTTCTGCACATCATTAAAAAAAATTAAGTGTTCTCGTCTTCCAGGGTTACACCCTGGGATGGGCTATTTCAGTTGGCTGTTTTCAAGGGGGTCTTTCGCAGAGACTTCCTCCTGCTGGCATCGAGATTGTCTTTACTCCTGGCTGGAGACTTGACATTCCATTGCCGAGGCTGTGGGGCTCTGGGGAGAAATAAAAACACTGTCATCCTGGAACTAAAATGAAATAAAATTTTAAAAAAATCTACTGCAGTCATTCCATCCCCAAAATCATTTATCTAGGTACTAAACTTACTTATCAGGTAATGACAAACACAAAATATCATCTCCTTGATCTTGGAATCCAGATTTCTCTGAAATGGAACCAGACAAGTTCAGTATCCCATAACATTTTAAAAATGGATAATAATCAAGAAAGAACCATAATGAGAACTTGCCTTTGGCTGAAGATGGTGTTATGTAACTAACCCCTGCTCCAAAGGTAACATCATTAATGGTCTCTAGTAAAAGAAAAAGAAAATGCCCAGATCAATAGAAGTTGGTTAAAGCCAAAGCAGAGAAGAAAGAGGTAATTCTTCTAAGAAATAAAGCTGAATATTTATCAATTGCTACAATCATAAGCATGTCTGGCTTTAAGAATAAGCCCATATCTACTTCAGGCCATCTAGTAAATGCTAGCTATTACTCAGGCTAACAAATATGATAGACTAGCAAAACTATATAAAGCAAACTATCCTTTCTCCAAAATCTTTTGTGAAATGTTGTTATGAACATCTTTCTCCTCCCTAGACTGTTTCTCAGAGGTGACAGATGACTATGCCTAATTTATGCTCTAAAAACCCTCTTATTTTTCTACTCTACCATACATCCATGAAGTACTCAAGCTATGTTAATTGGTAATGCTAGCAATTTTTATTTTTCATGGCTGACATTAAAGGAGTTCAGTCCTGAGCAGTCCTAGTGAAAGGAGGGTAAGGATGAGATGGGAAATTCTCTATGTAGTACACACATTACTTTCCTGTTTGGGAACCTATCTTTTTCAAGGTAACAAAACTTTCACAAAACCTATTTTATGATCTCCAATGCACCTAATGTTTGAAATCAAAGGCAACAAATATTTAAAAAGCCTCCATAGATTTTTAGCTCAGTCCTAGTGTTCTGAAAAGGTTTCCTTTTCATTTGGAAAAACAGCTTTGTTCATATTGAGTACCACAAAGCATTAGAATAGTTAAGAGCTACCACAGCACGTATCCAAAATTAACTAGAGTTGTGCTACACTGTCTTTATCTGCCATCCATCCCTAATGTAACATCATAGGGTCACTGGATTTGTAAGCAGTGTTTCACCTAATTCTCCTAGAAAAAAGAAATGTCTGTGGAGACATCTCTCAGCCTCCTTCCCCAGCTTAAAGTAAAGAGTGATCCCCAGAAATTGTATCAACAGGAATGATGCGTTTGAAATGAGAAAAAGAAAAACTGCATCTGATTTGGTGACACTTGAGAGCTCCATCTTCAATGTGAAGACAGCTCCATACAAACGAATTAAAGCAGTTCTAATACAACGTGCCAGCCTTCACTGCTAAAGAACACACGCTGCTAGGAAACCAAGCAGGAACTGAAATCTGGGACTCCTGGGAATTATCATACTAAAAGGAGCTGCATTCTCCCTGTTTCCTCAGCATATGGTACCTAACTGCTGAAATAGAAGCACTCTGCGCCCTGAGCCAGAAACATACAGATGAAGAAAAAATGGAGAGGAGCTTTCTGCATATTATAATATTACACCTGTTCGATGTATGGCAACCCAAAATTACTCATTGCCTTTAATGACAACATCTTCATGACTAAAACTAGAGAAGCTGTAGTTATCATATGGGTGTAGGAGATGTGCTGACCTTTCTTAAAGATGAAGCCTATAAGCAGACCTTGGCTATAACAACAAAAACAATAACAGCATTTACATAGCACTTACTATGGGCCAAGCACTGAGCTAAACTTTACAGATAACTCATTTGATCCTCACAACAACCTAAGAGGTAGATGCTGCTATTATTCCCATTTTACAGATAAAGAAACTGAGGCAAGGTGAGGTGATTGCTCAGGGTCACACAGCTAATAAGTGTCTGAAACTAGATTTGAGCTCCCATCTTCCTGACTCCAGGGGCAGCATTCTATCTACTGTACCACATAGCTGCCTGAGATATGAAAATATGTAGGAATTATCAAGAATGAAATAATTAAGAGATTTCAATCATAGAGAAGAAGTGTCTGTATCCTGGTGTTGTCCTTCCAGATAAGTTCACTGTCAAACAGGAATACTCTATCATGATTATATTTTAATACTTGTGACTGGAACTGTGGGAGATCAGAGCTGGAACAAAAAAATTTCAGGGTGTCTATGTGGTTATCCTACTCTCTGAACTGAAACACTCTAACTTACTAGAGTGAAGCTTTGAATGTATGAAGTAAACGTAACTCAAGGTATGTGCTCTGGGTTCTGGCCTGGGTTGAGTGTCTGGGGCTCCCAAACTATAGATAACCCTAGTCCACCTAGCCCAATCTAGAAATTCCAAACCTAAATTGACCCTGTCCTCAAACCACTAAAGGCTTAGAGAAAGTCAGCTGGATGACTCTTGACTGCTAAGAGAATATTCAAGTTAACATTCATTCAGTGCACATCAGGTGTAACACAGTGTGTTACATGGCTTTGTTGTGAAGACTGGAATGAGCTAAGAAATCTAGTTGTCGTCTGTTCTCAAAGGGGATCAATGGCATCGCTAGGGTGATGTCTTGACTTGCTCAGGAACTGAATTTAAGTGAGGTAGAATTGCCTGATGCTGGAAAAGGAGTGGGAGTGGGAAGGCTCCTTCTCAAAATGGACTTTGAAACTTCTGAACTACACTGCCTTGGTTATCAGCAGCTGGTTATGAAGCAGAACTAGCAGAGCAGAACATTGTATATACTGTCATATACAGTCACAGTCTGAGGTGTTTTTACTTGGTGATTGTTCTTTGTTACAAGGGAGTGTTCAATGGAAGACTGAGGAGTGTCTTTGCAGATGACAGATGTTTGCACATAGGATATTAAAAAAAAAAAGCCATGGGATGTGAGAAGCAGGGAAGGGGAGGAAACCATGGAGTTTCACTGGGCACAGTACTGAAGAGCAGTTATTATGGGGAATGGGAGTGTCAAATAAAGAGGTTTCCATGTAAATAACTAGATAAGAGTGGGCACATAAATGGCACATCCTAAAAGATAGGTTGGAAATACACTTCAATTGTGATACTATGTATGCATTCTCATTAACTTGGCAGTTAACAGTTGTTATACTTATTCCCAATTCAGGAGTAGCTCCATGACCTCACCTTACTGATGACTAGAATGGAAGGGCATTAAGAAACTTAACTGCACCTAAGAAATTAACCCTTCAATGGGAATATATGTACTAAGAGATATCATGCTGATGAAGTTCCAAAGATCACACCATAAGCCTGAAAGCTGACCTTCCATTTTACAAGCCTGGAATATGACTACTGATGGTTAACAACAAGGGTATATATATATATATATAATACAGGCTCCTCAATCAATACATTACTGATGCAATTTACTTCATTTGCTTCTACATTTGTTCTGCAAACAAAATAATTATGGTGCCCTCAATGATAACTTCAGCTCTTATTCAAAGAAATGCATTTCCTCATTGAAAATACTTCATGTTATTAATTCTACTTTGTTAGGTTTCTAATTCAGTCTTAAAAAATTTGTCATCACAGCTTATATTCTCTTATTCTGACAGAATAGGGTTCTTGACTATATCTTTGCTGCAGTCTTAAGTAGATAAATGTCCTATCAGTTTGCTATTGATTCATCAGCAGCCAATACAAATCCTTTAGAATATGTAGACAAGATTACAGGACTTGACCGATCTGTGTATGAAACAGACAGACTGATCTCAGAAGAAATTCTGGTCTCCTGATTCAACTGTATTGCAGAAATGGAAAACAAGCAAACAAACAAAAAAAAACCCCCTCTCCTCTCCTATAAAAGAAGGCAAGGTTGATTTCTCCTTTGGAATCAGAAGGTGGTCTCCTCCTGAATTGCTGAGAGAATAGAGGAGAGCTCAATTCTGATTCTAGACAGACTCGGGGTCAAATTCCACCCCCACCATTTACTAGTTGTGTGAGACAAAGAAAGCCAGTTAATCTGCTCTGAGGTTCAGTTTCTTCATCTATAAAATAGAGATAACAGTATGTACCTCACAGGGTATTTCTGAAGATGTAGTTTAGTAACATGTAAAGCACTCTGATCCTTACAGTACTATATAAATGTCAGTTATTATTTTTCAATGCTGTTTCTTTGCCCCCAACCAACTTTGATTCTTTTTATTTTTGACAAGAATATCTTCAAGCTGTGGTGATTTAAACTCAAAATTATGGTTCCAAAAACTTTATAAAGGTAAAAAGGGAACTCTTGCTATTCTCCACTGTAGAAATTCACCTCTAATTTGAAGTACAAAATGAAATGCATGGTATAGTGGAAAGAACACTGGACAGAGAGAGACCTAAATTCTACTGGCTTTGCCGCTAACTAGAGCTCTTTGGCTGTGGTGAAGTCATGGGATATCTCTGGGACTCACCTGCATCATTAGTAAGAATGACGCCAATTAACTAAACAATCTCAAACATTTTGTAATTCTATGAAATAGAAGTACACTCTAAGTAAAAAGCAAGGTAAATACAGTACAGTAGGCACATCGATACATTATCTTTGTTGAATGACTAGCAGTATTCTTTACTACTCACTGAAAAGTGTTACCAAGTTTCTTCAGTATTTTCTGATACTAGCCTACCCTCCTGTCTGTTCCACATCCAAACTGGCTCATCCTCTGACCTGTTCAATTTCCCTACATGTTGCCAGGAGCCTCCACATCATGAGAAGGCTCTGCCATGCTGCTTACTCTCCAGCAGAGGCTCATACTCCAGCGTGCCCAACCTCCCTAGCAGGGGCTGAGTCCCATAGGGAGAATAATCTGCCCGAACTCTCATTATTCCCATCCCAGTGATACTAAACCCCTAGATGTCACAGAACAAACCCTCTCTCATCCACTACTGCTAGTGCCCTTATTCTCATCTTCTTCAACCTGAACTCCTTCATTCCCAATGTCCACTCCAGATCTACCCAACTCTTTTCACTGTGCTCTCTAGAATACCTGCTCCAGAGTAAAGAATACATTGTGTGGCCATGCGGGTGCACTGTTGACTCAACTCCCCAGGATTTTGTCCACCATGCCATAGAACTATTCACCCTGAAAGCTCCCTCCCTCCCACAGGATCTCCAGTTTAAGGATGAGACCCAGGCCAAAGACGTCATTCCTCTCCCTACTGACATCTCCAAAGGACTTGCTCTACCATCCCCACCCCCTCTGTTTTTCAGTTCCCTTTGATGTGTTGTTTCCCTCCAGTGGAGGGCAGGGACTGTCTCTTTCTGTTTGTTTCTGTATTCCCAGTTCTTAGCTAGTGCCCTTAATAAATGCATATTAAGGGGGCAGCTAGATGGTGCAGTGGATAGAGCACCAACCCTGGATTCAGGAAGATCTGAGTTCAAATCTGGCCTCAGACACTTAACACTTACTAGCTGTGTGACCCTGGGCAAGTCATTTCACCCACTGCCTCTCAAAAAAAAAGTAAAAATAGATAAATCAATGCATGTTGATTGACTGCTCCATAAGTAACAAACTTGCCTTCATTTTTAATCTTTTCCTTTCTCACTTCTTGCACTTATTGAAACCTTGTCTGGCCATCCTTTCTAGCACTGGTTGCTACCTTCACAACATCTCTCATCTATGTTCCCTTCTCTTCTCTGACACTGCCACCCCCATGGGGCAGGCCCTCATCACCTCATGCTGGACAATTGCTACAGTCTGCTAGTAAGAACTGCCTGCCTCAAATCTCTCCCTGCTCCAGGTCATCCTCTACTCATCTGTCAAAGTGATCTTCCCCCTCAATAAAATTCGAGTGGCTCCCTGACTCCAGGATCAAATGTAAAATTCTCAATTTGGCTTGTAAAGTCATTCATAACCTGGCCCCTTCCCATCTTTCTAATCTTCTTCACCTTATTCCCTTCCAATCTAGTGACAATGGCCTCCTGGCTGTTTTTCACACAAGCTACTTCATCTCTAGACTCCAGGCATTTTCAATCGCTGTCTCCCATGCCTACAATGCTTTCTCTCTTCATTTCCTCAGTCTGGCTTCCTTCTTGGTTAAATTCCCACCTTCTGCAAGAAGCCTTTTCTAATCTCCCTCAATGCTAATGCCTTCCCTCTGAACTTAACCTCCAATTTACTCTGTATACATCTTGTGTGCATATGGTTGTTTCATGTTGTCTCCCCCATTACAATGTGAGCTCCCTGAGGGAAGCAACTGGTTTTTTTTCTTTTTTTACTTTTCTTTTCATCCCCAGGCCTTAACACTGGAACACAGTAAGTGCTTAATAAATGTTAACTGAGTATTGACTAACTGCTACTACAAAGACACACTGACAGAGAGAGAAGGTTAGATGGTGTTACTTATTCAAGTGAATGACTCACGATCAGGGGTGCTGATGGCCCGGTCAGTTGCACAGATAGTGGCTTTGACAGAGTGCTGATTCAGGCTACAAAAAGACTCTGAAAAAAAAGATCAATGAAAGAGAAAAATCAAAGAAAAAAAAAGATCCCACTTGCCCCCAAAGTATTTGTAGCAGCATTTTTGGTAATAACAAAGAACTAGAAACAAAACAGATGCCCATCAACTGGGGAATGACTAAACAAACAATTCATCGCACATGAATGTAAAGGAATATAAGAAATGTAAGAAATGATGTCTATGATGAATACAAAGAAATCTGGAAGACTAGTTTAAACCTATGCAAAGTAAATTACACAGAACCAGGAAAATATAACACAATGATAACAACAATGCAAATAGAAAAACAACAACATAACTGAAACTAAATGCTATAGGATTATAATGACCAAAAAGCTAAGAGAATGGATTATGGGTTATGGAATACTAGCTACCATGCCGGAGTTGGCTGATTAGTTAGTTTCACTGATCTCTTTTGGAATTCTCTGTCATAAAGGATGATTCTCGGGGATTATGGGAAAGGAGGATAAATGAGCAAATCTAGGTGATATAAACACAAAATATAAAAATTTAAAGACCCTAGGAAAATATAATTGATATTACAATAACAGGGTTTTTATTTAATCTAACCACTCTCATTTTTCATTTCAAAGACTGATAACTGAGTTGCTTCTGTTCAACTTTCTGTGAAAAACAACACTCACTTTTGTCCCAACTGGATGGTGTGCCTTGCTTGCTGCTGCCTGTATTTCCTGACTGGGAGGGGAAAGAAAGTCCTCCAAAGCTCTGACTCCTTTGATCCTTTTTGGACTCCACAGCTTTTTTGACAGAATTTAGAATTGCAAGGGTACTCAAGGACATACGCCTGTGTGGGAGAACATACCATAACCATTGATTTTTTTTTTCCAACAAGTCACTACAGAGAGGAAGAACAGAGACCTTAATTACTATCCTCTCTCTTTTAAAACCATCACTCATATCCATGCATCTAAAATCCAGAGTGAAAAACCAAAAACATCAATGAAAATCCAGTGTGATTATCCATCACTGACAATGGCCAGTGAAGATTAGCCAACCCTTCTAAGGGTGAAAATGCAACTGGATTCTCAAGATCCCAGGGAATAACCTGATGACAGAATGTGCCCCCTTTTGATTCAGACCTCTTAGCTAAGTTAGCTCTGTACCTGGTTTTGAATGTTAACAACTTCAGTGACCCAGTTTCAGATGTAGGAGATGAGGTAGGCACAGGGCCACCTGGTAATCCAGAAGATGTGGCCTGACTCCCACCAGGATTATCATGACCAACAGGAGGTGGTGATGTTCCTAAACTCAGAGGGGACTGCTAGAAGGAGAAAGAGAGAGTTTATCTTGTATCACATCCTGAACTTCTCTCACTCAATATGATCAATTGTCAGATCTTTCATTTCTTTCTCTATGGAAGTTTTTTTCTCTCTCTACTCATGGCCAAGACCTTAGGACAGATCCTCCTGCCTGAACTACGACAGTAAACTTTCTAATGAAGGCCTCAGTACCTCAAGTCTCTCCTCACTCCAATCCATCCTTAGCTGCCAATGTGACTTTTTTCTAAAGGATGGTCTGACCATGCTGCCTCCCCTCCTCAATGAGCTCCAGTAGTTCCTCATTGCCTCTAGGATCATACAGAACCGAGGTGGCATTTAAAGCTCTTTACAGCCTGACCCTTCCTGCCTTTCCATGTACTTTACGTTCCAGCCATCCCGGCCTACTTGCTGTTGCTCACATACAACATCTGTCCCTGGGCCTCCGCACTGTCTCCCATGCCTGGAATGCTGTTCCTCTCGCCCTTGTGCTCTTCAAATTCCTTTCTTTAAATTCAGTTCATGTGAACATGGCAGCAGAGAGGGAGCATTCCAGCAGGAACCTCTTAACATTGTCCTTCGAACAACTTTAACATGATGTGTCAAATCAACTTCTGAAGCAGTACAGCCAACAAAAGGAGGTGAGACGTTTTTCTAGCCCAAGATGACTGAGGAAGTCAGAAGAGGTCTGTGGCACTGAAGTGGGGCCTGGCCAGGAGGGAAGCTCAACAGCAGAACCAGCTCCGGGCCATGGAGGCAGTGACGATGGCAGGAGCCTCTCACTGCCCAGAGATGGTAAGAGGTATGGATAACTGATCAGGAAGAGACTGTAGGAGACCTTGTGCTGGCACTGAGGGCAGGACCAGTGCTGTTTAGCAACTCCATTGCCCATTACCCAGTTCCAGGTTGCAGATCCAGGGCTGAAAGGAGTGCTAGTACTTGTGGTTGCAAGGGGGCCCTCCACCTGAGTAATGACCAGAATGCAAACCAAAAGAACAGAAACCACTCCTACCCCCAGATCTCTTCTCCCTGGAAACACCAAAAACTTACAGACCCCTAGAACTAGATGTTCAAACAGGAGAATGGAAAAAGGCTTAGAACAATAACCCTTCCTTCACCCCTGGTGAGCAGAGCCCAACTTTACCATAAAATTCAAAGTAAAGAAATAAGTTAAAAAATGAATAAACAGGGGTGGCTAGGTGGCACAGTGGATAGAGCGCCGGCCTTGGAGTCAGGAGGACCTGAGTTCAAATCCAGCCTCAGACACCTGACGCTAGCTGTGTGACGCTGGGCAAGTCACCTAACCCGACTGCCTCACAACAACAAAAAATCAAAACTTAAGCACAATAAGCTACTTTAGTGATGGCTCAAGACAAACTCAAAAGATGACAATTACATGAAAACATCTACAAGCAAAGCCTCAAAGAAAAATGCAGATTGAACAAAAGCCTACCAAGAATTCCTGAAAGAGCTAAAGAAAGATTAAAAGAAAAACAAAGAAAAAATATTTTAAAAATCAAATAAGAGTGGTAGAGGAAAAACTGGGAAAAGAAATGAGAGCAATGCAAGAAAACTGTGAAAAGAGAACATACAGACTGGTAAAAGGCATAAAAAAATACTGAAGAAAATAACATCTTAACAATCAGAATTGACCAAATGGTAAAAGAAGTACAAAACCTCATTGATGAAATGACTCCTTAAAAAAGCAGAATTGGCCAACCGGAAAAAGAGGTACAAAACCTTACTCAAATAATTCCTTAAAAATTACAATCAGTCAAGTGGAAGCTAATGACTCGATGAGATATCAAGAAATAATAAAACAAAGTCAAAAGAATGGGGAAAAAAAGAAAAGAAAATATGAAATTTCTCACTGGAAAAAACAAGTGACCTGGAAAGTAGATCAAGGAGGAATAATCTGAGAATTACTGGACTACTTGAAAGCCATGATGGAAAAAAAAAAAGGTGTGTGGTGGGGTCTAGAAATCATTGAATTTCAAGAAATTATAAAGGAGAACTTCTTTGATACCTTAGAATCAAAAGGTAAAATAGAAGTTGAAAGAATCCACCAATTACCTATTGAAAGAAATCTCCAAATGAAAACTCCCAGGAATATCATAGCAAAATAAATTTCAGAGCTCCCAAATTAAAGAGAAAATACTTCAAACAGCCAGAAAGAAACCACTGAAATACCATGGAGCTACAGTCAGAATCAAACAAGATTTACAGCTATCATGATAAAGGAGTAGAGGGAGGGCTTGGAATAATACTCCAGAAGGCAAAGGATCTAGAAACCATGAACCAGCCAAATTGAGTATAATCCTTTAGTGGAAAAGTGGACATTTAAATATAAGACTCAAGAGAAAAATAAAAAGGTGAACAGAAAAGAGAAATCATAAGGGGCTCAATAAGGTTAAACTGTTTACATTCTTTATGGGAAGATGCTACATGTAATTCCTAAGAACTCTGTCATCATTAGAGCAGTTAGAAGGAGTCTATATGGATAGAGGGCATGGGTGTGAGTTGACTATGTTGGGATAATCTCAATTAAAAAATGGAGGGGTGAGAAAGAGGGATGCACTGAGAGAAAGGAGAAGAATGGGGAAAATCACCTCACATAAAAGTGTTGCAGATGGATGAGCAAGGATGTCCATTATCAGCATTACTATTCAATACTGTACTAGAAAATACTAGTGCATCAATAAGACAAGAAAAAGCAACTGAAGGAATAAGCATAGGCAATGAGGAAATAAAACTATCATTCTTTGCAGACAATATGATGGTAATACTTAGAGAAGCCTAGAGAAATCAACTAAAAAACTAATTGAAACAGCAACTTCAGCAAAGTTGAAGGATATAAAATGAACCCACATTAAATCATCAGCATTTCTATAACCAACAAAACCCAGAAGGAAGAGACAGAGAGAAATTTTACTAAAAATAACTACAAACAGTACATAACACTTGAGAGTCTACCTGACAACACATATCTAGAAACCATATGAACACAATTACAAAACACTATTTATACAAATAAAGTCAGATCTAAACAAGTGGAGAAAAATTAATTGACCCTGGGTAAGCCAAGCCAACATTTATACATATACATACACACACACACATTCATAAGCATTTTTCATAAGTCCTTCAGAGTTGTCTTGGATCACTGTATTGCTGAGCATAACTAATCATCTTACAATATTGCTGTTACTTTGTACACAGTACAATTCACTTTGCATCAGTCCATGTACATCTTTCCAGGTTTCTCTGAGTGCATCCTACTCATCATTTCTCTCTTTCTTTCTTTTTCTTTCTTTCTTTCTTTCTTTCTTTCTTTCTTTCTTTCTTCTCTCTCTCTCTCTCTCTCTCTCTCTCTCTCTCTCTTCTCTCTCTCTCTCCCTCCCTCCTCCTCCTCCCTCTCTCTCTCTCTCTCTCTTTCTTTCTCTCTCTCTCTTCCTTCCTTTCTTTGTAATCTGGGGTTCAGTGACTTGCCCACAGTCACACAGCTAGTGAGTATTATATGTCTCAAGCCAGATTTGAATTCACATCCTCCTAACTCCAGGGCTGGTGGCTCTATCCACTACATCACCTACTGCCCCTGGTATGCATGGTTTTATAGCGCTTTGGGCATAGTTCCAAATTGCTCTACAAAATAGTTGAATCAATTCACAACTCCACCAACAGTGCATTAGTGTCTCATTTTTTCCCACATATCCTCCAACAAATGTCATTTTCCTGTTCTGTCCTATTAGCCAATCTAATAGGGATGAAGTAGTACCTCAGAACTGTTTTAATTTGTATTTCTCCAATCAACAGTGAGTTAGAGTATTTTTTCAAATGGCTATAGATAGCTTGAGTACTTCATTTAAAAACTTATCATATCTTTTGATCATTTATCAATTGGGGAATGGCTCTTATTTTTATAAATTTGACTCAGCTCTCTATATGTTTTAGAAATGAAGCCTTTGTCAGATACTTGCTTCAAATTTTTTTACACTGAATAGTGCTAACTGTATTTCCCTCCATCCTATCCCCCCATTCTATTCTCTCTTTCCTTTCACCCTGTCCCTCCTCAAGTGTTTTGCTTCTGACTACCTCCTCCCCCAATCTGCCCTCCCTTCCTCCCCTACCCCCTCTCTTATCCTCTTTCCCCTCCAACTTTCCTGTAGGGTAAGATAGATTTCTATATCCAATTGAGTGTGTATGTTATTACCTCTCTGAGCCACTTCTGATAAGAATAAAGTTCACTCCCTCCCCCTCCCCTCTCCTCCTTTCTCTCTACTGTAAAAGCTTTTTCTTGCCTCTTTTATGGGAAACAATTTACCCCACTCTACCTCTCCTTTTCTCTTTCTCCCAGTACATTCCTGTCTCACCCCTTAATTTTATTTTTTAGACATCCCCTTCATACTCAACTCACACCTGTGCCCTCTAGACATATATACTCTAAGTACACTAATAATGAGAAAAGTCTTATGAGTTACAAATATCATCTTCCCGTGTAGGAATGTAAATAGTTTAACCTTAACTCCCTTATGACTACTTTTTTATGATTCTCTTGAGTCTTGTATTTGAAAGTCAAATTTTCTATTCAGGTCTGCTCTTTTCATTAAGAATGCTTGAAAGTCCTTTATCTCATTGAATATCCATTTTCCCCCCTGCAGGATTACATTCACTTTTGCTGGGTAGATGATTCTTGGTTGTAATCCTAGCTCCTTTGCCCTCCAGAATAACATATTCCAATCCTTTGGATGCTCCAATCCTTTAATGTGGAAGCTGCTAAATCTTGTGTTATCCTGACTGTAGTTCCATGATATTTGAATTGTTTCTTTCTGGCTGCTTGCAATATTTTCTCCTTGACCTGGGAACTCTGGAATTTGGCTATAATATTCCTAGCAGTTTTCATTTTGGCATCTCTTTCAGGAGGTAAGCAGTGGATTATTTCAGTTTCTATTTTATCCTCTTGTTCTAGAACAGAGGTTCCCAGACTTATTTGGCCTACTGCCCC